TGTATAAAGATAAATATTAGTTCACTTTAGACATATGAGAGGATCGAGATAATCTACCTACATTCATTCGGACGTACATACACTTATTCGCTATTGCATAAAAATTCTACACTTCGCCTTTGTAATAGAAAAGAGGGCGTTCACTATCGATCTATTTTAGGACTTATAGGGTGTGGGTGTGGGTGTGGGTGTGGGCAGTGTTTTATCCAGATTTTTCGTTCCGAAGGGGCAAATTCAGTTCCCGGGAGGGCAGACATAAGTTTGTAAGCGAATAGCTACGATCAATGTTGTCGAGTTATATTGACATTTTCAACAGATCGTGTCTTATAAGTTATAAAACGCAAAACTTCTTTATTTTATTTAATTGAAAAATATGTGCAACATATACAAAGAACAAATAGCAATAAGTATACCAAAAGAAAAGGCAGAAAATTATAAGAACAATGTGAAAATCCATATCATATAACTCAAACAGCTAATCGACGTGGTTTTAGTTTTTTCCAGTAATTGATTATTTCTTCTTTGATTTCTTCATTTAAAGTATCTGGACCTTCAATGGAGATTCTCATTAATTGATCAACATATTGTGTTGTTAGTTGATTTCTTAATTTCGTGAGAATTCGATTCATTGTTGAGAAATTTCTTTCGACTGTAGCCGTACTGATAGGTACGACCAAAAAGATTTCTGCAGCTAATGACAACTGCGGATAAATTTCCTTTAACATACCATCTTGTACAAGTTTCATACAAATTTCTCTGTGGGTCGTAAGTTTACCACTGTTTTTTTTTGCTAATAGATACGTACGAAATGTTTTCCATTCATACATAATAGATTCATCAATGTCACTTGCATAATGATGTTGAATAGTACGTATTTCTTCATCACCATAATCCTTATTATCGTTCAAATTTTCCATATCAAATATCATAAAACAATTGAGTAAATTCAGAGTACCATGTTCGAAACGAGCTTGAATATTATTAATAACATTTTCAATGAAGGGAAGAACTTTTGTAGAAAAAACTTCACTGACATTTAATTCTAAATTTGATATTGATGATCTTGAAATTCGAGTTGTAGTAGATGTTAATGATAATTTTTGAATAGTTTCAATTATAGCAACATAATCATTAGAACTGTAGTCTTTAAGTTGTTCAAGTCGAAGGAGAGTTGATGTTAAAAAATCTTGTAATTGCTTGAAATCAGCCGCTTTTATTTGAATGGATTTTGATAAAGTTGCTAAAGTGTCTAATATTGGTCGAAGTGCATGGAGAATAAATGCAGTTTCTTCATTAGATAACATATTGTAGAGACCTAGTGCTTCCGCACTATCTTCATTGTTTTCATTATAAATACTTTCAAGTGTTATTAATAATGATTGATAAGATTGTAAAAGAGATCGAATAGCTAAAGAATTCGTAAGTCAACGTGTATCACCGGGTTGGATCAATTTAATATGTTGATTTCTAAAAATATCTTGAATATTTTCAAATAAACTTAATCTTACCGATGATCGATTGATAAAATTAACTAATGATTTAAGTGCGGATAAGCTTCTAGAAATATCAGGAGAATCTTCAGCAGCAGATATTACAGCTAGTTGTAACGAATGAGCTCGACAATAAATAAATAATATTGCTATATTGAATGCAGCACGAAATCTAGCTGCAACACCATTATGTATTCCACTGAAGACTGCAGCGTCATCAAATGAGACGAAGCGAGTTTTGCTTAAATCAATGCTTTTCTTTTGTAAATCCATTACGATAGAATTAAATATAGATTCTGCATCTTTATTTTTTAAATGCAATAAACTTACATAAGTTTCACATGGTGCTCCAGTCATTTGATCACAGTATCTAATGCAAATACATAAATTTCCATGTCTATTGATATCAGTTCCTTTATCAGATAAGATGCTAATAAACCTTGACTGTCGTATTTTATTAAGAATGTTCTTTTCTAAAATTCCATTGGTAGATTCAAGAAATTCAGTTATCGATGTTGTACTATTGTAAGTAGAATTTTTCTTGCAATTTTGGAAAAAGTCGGCCAGTTTAGAACTATGATCAAGACGACCAAC